TTGTCCATATGCTTTCTCTAGGGCAACATGTCCTGAATCCTGTGCATTCACACCCCAAGTCAGATACTCTCATGGCCGCCTACTTCAGCTGCTGCCACTTATCCCCCTCACCAGGAGCAATCAGCAATGAGGGGACGTGACAACGGTGGTGGCAGAAATGGGGGGCTGAAGTATGCATAATTTGCATATGTCTCTCCAGGAAATGTTTGCATCCCCTCACCCCCCGGCAGGGGAATGCACCCCATAATTTGGGAAGAGTCACTTGATACAAGAGTGAGGAAACAATGAAAAGAATGCTTCTCAGGGTGTTCACCTAAATGAATTTGGATTATTATTAAAGCACTGATCATTTGCCCTGTGTAACAGAGGACACAAAAATGAAAATGGTTCTGCCTTGATGCTTGTGCTCATTTCCATGAGCTTTTGCCCAGTTGAACTCTATGAACAGAAATGCTCCTAAAAAGCAAATCCGAAACACCAATGCAGAAATACTTCTTGTAGGTAACATTGTACCCGTGTATAAGAGCCCACCGGCGGCCAGTGGCTTCTTCTGGAATCAAGATGTTTCTTTAGGCCTAAAATGAAGCCAGAGAATATCACCCCGAGACCAATTTTCAAGCTGTATAAGCAGTTGCAATATTCAAAATTCACACGCTGTTGGTTAATTAACCAAGTGATCCACTTAGAAAACACAAAGCCTACCAGGTGACTTGTATAAATACCAGCTGCAGCGTTTACTTTGAAGGCTGAGCAGTGATTATTCTCCCTGAACTCTATGTGAGCTATTCATTAGTTCGCAGGTTATTTCCAATCATGAATGCAATTGAGAATGTTGTGTTTGGCTCATTTTCACAAGTAGAAAAAACCCCCAAAAACTGAAAACCAACTGTCCAGTCCAAATGAACTCAGCACTATCAATTTCTTGTAATGCTTGGGGCTACTGTCCCTTTCCATGCAAAGCTTTTGGCTCATGGCTTCTTTTTTAACTGGTCTATTTAATTTGTTGCAAACTATAAGAACTTGGAAGAACATTTTTTAAAATAGGCTGACAAAGGAATTCAAGTTGCTCCATTTCTGGCAACTAGTTATGCAGCAACATTTAGTAAATGTATGTGCACCAGCTGCAGCACTCCAGTGTGTTTCTTGAGAATCATGCTCTTTACATCCTGCTG